TGAGGGAGTACCGCAAAAGGGTGTTGACGGAAATTCAGAACTATTACGGCGTCAATCAGGGCACGGGCATGGCGTCTCGCCCCGAGTGGTACAGCTATCTCTCGCGTCATCACCAAGACCCCCCTTCCCCGGCACCGCCACGGCTATCGCCCTTATCTAATCAGGGCAAAGATAAGCTCAGTAAACAATCGGCGCCCCGTCACAGAGGCAGCAGTGGGAAGGCTGGCCCCGGTGTCGCTGCCGCGGTAGCTGGTGGTGCGCGCAAGTCCAGTCGAGATATTTGCATACAGACTGACCCCGCACTCAACACAAGCTGGGAAGAGGACGATCTCACACCTGAGCCCCTGGGCCACGCCCCTCCTCCCTTCATTAAGACCCAGGCCGCCCACGAAACCCGGACGCACGCCCACACCACTACGTCAAGGGCAGTGAGCGCAGGGATGAGTCTACCCCGAGAAGCAGGGGTAGAATCCACAAGGGCTGGCCGCCGCGAAGGTGAAGGCGGGGGTAGTGGAGGGAGGGGCCGGGAGCGAGGCGGTGGACGGGGGGACTCGGCGCTGATCACCCCCCACCTGCCTCACCCCCCCTCCTTCCACCTGCACCTCACGCTCAGCAGAGAGACCTCAGTCGCGCAGCCGTCCGACTCGGAGGCGGATGAGAGGCTCTTGGACAACAGTTCCTGTGTTAGTAGTGATTTAGGCGGCGATTCCGCGAGTGATTTCGAGTACCGTGACGACCGCGGCGCGAGTGTGAAGTGCGTGAAGAGTGACTTGAAGGAGGAAAGAAAGAGTGAAGATGGTGAGGCGAGTGTGTTAGGAGCGCAGTGTAAGAGGGATCATGGCGGCCCAGGTGGGGGGGAGGAGGCTCCTAGGTCCCCCCGCATAGCAGCAGCTACCACCGCGCACGCACACCCCAGCCACAACACACGCCCGTCCCCGCCCCAGCCAGCGCCAAGGAGGACCATGAGTGCCTTACGATCACAACACAAGCTTCCCGCCGAGGCCTCACAACCCCAAGAAAATGGCGGAGATCTCGACGCATCGGAGAGAGTTATCCCGTCCGAGGACGCGTCGCAGACAGATTCCCCCGCTGCTCCGATCTCACTTGTCCCCGAGGACGATAGCCCGCCCTCGAGCAGCACCAGCGAGGCCGAGGATACGGATGAGGAGATGCACGTGTCTCGAAGTTACAACATCTCTATAGTCGGTGAAGTTGACGGCGGAAGCGAGACAGAAAATCTTCCTGAAGGTGAGGTTGGCAAACACCTCGAGGCCGAGGAACATGACAGTTCCACCTCGTCCTCCAGTGGTAGTGACACAGACGAAGAAAAACACGTTAGCAGAGAGTACACCCTCACTAGGTCCTCCTCGACCGACTCCGGCCTCGAGAAGGCTCACAGCGAAGCCCTCGACGACGAGGAAGACGAGGAGAGCCCGCCGGTGGTTAGCCTCAAGCAGGAGGTCAACGTCATCGAGGCTGTCAATGAAGCAGTCACCGCAGATATTGTTGACACTACCTTTGATGACGTCACGGCCGGCGGGGGTGAGGGAGAGAAGGAGAAGGAGGAGGAAGCAACGGCTGTGGCTGTAAACAAAGTGCTCTGTGATCTTCCTGAGGGCGACGGAGTGGACGGGAACGCAGAGGTGGAAACAACAGATAATAGCGTGGAGGAAACAGTGGAAAAAGAAGAAAATCCAAGCCAGCATGTCGAAACCAGGGACGTGCAACAGAGTGAAGCAGTTGCTAGTGTTCGTGAGACCGAGGAATGTAATGAGGAATCCGTCAGTGTTTTGGCAGAAGCCGAGGGAGAGGGAGTTGTGGTGGAGGGAGATGGTGGGGCGAATGAGGGGGAGAATGTGCTGAAGAAAACCGAAGTGGCAAGTACTAGTGAAAGTGATGATGTGAGTGTAGAAAAGTGTGAGATGACGAGTGCAGATAATATGGTAGAAGATGAAAAAATGGTGCAAAGTGTAGAGGGTAATGATGGTGCTGTAGTGAGTGTGAATGATGGCGCACGTGTCGAGGGTGACGTAAGTGTTGATAACGCTGACACGAGTACCGAGGCGAGCGCAGTTAGTGAGGCGGAGGCGGCGCTCGCCCAGGATGAAAAAACGAGTACTGTCGAGGAGGAAAATGCGATCAGCACCGCGTCTGCTGTTCCCCCCGAAGAAGAAAAAACAGTAGCGTCTGGAGGCGCGCAGGACGACAGTGCTAATATTGAGGGTGCTGCTGAGCCCTGTCGAGAAGAGGTCACTCAGGCAGAGGTCACTGAGTCCTCTAGTCAGGCAGAGGCTGTCCCCGAGGGCTCAGCGCCTCCTGTTGACACTCGGGAGGAGGCGAAGCCAGAGGAAGGACCCGTGAATGAGGAGCCCGCCGTCGCCCAGGGCGGAGACACGAGTCCCGAGGAGGTGCCCTCGGGCTCTCACGACGACGGGGCTGCGGGCGGCGGTGGGTCGGCCGCGCTTGGTGACGAGGCGGCTGTATGCGAAGAGGGCGAGTCAGAGGCTGGTCCTGCTGCTACGCCCTCAGGAGACGCCTTGACCGTCTCGGCGAGAGAGAGTGAGCCGACGCGAGAAAGTGAAGGGTCGGGGACTGATGCTGAAAGTAACTCCGGCGTGGCAACCCTCAGTGGCGGCGGCGGCGGTGAGAGCCCCGAACCTCCTGGCACTAGTGCTGTCGACGCCGGAAGTGTACAAGTGGAACACAGCGCTGCTGCCTCCGCCAACCACACGTCAGTACCACATGACGCGCCTGCGGGCCCGCACACGTCGCCTCTCGCTCCGAGCGCTGACACCGCTAACCCGCAGTCGCAGCCCGAGGATACCGAAGCGCTGCCTTGCGTCGTGAAGGATTCCGCCCAGGAGGACGGCGTGAAGTGTGAGAGTAAAGTGAACAGTGCTGGGAGGGAGTCGAGTGAGTCGGGGCACTCCAGCGCGGGCGAAAGCGAAGTGGAGCCCGACGACCAAGGGAACGTTGTGAAGATTAGTGTAACGGAGCAACACCACGATCCTCCTGACGATGGTGTCAGCATTCCTGTGGGCGTGGTGGGCGGTGAGGGCGTAAAGCAGGAAGTGAGAAGATTTGCGGTGCGGCGAGTACGATCTCCCGAAGTGGTGTCGCGCCACACGCCGCCCGTGCCCTCCAGACGCACCAAACGGTCCTCCTCGTCGGACGGCGTCTCCTCCTCCTCTGACATCGAGAGATCCGACGCTGACGCCAGTGACTCCGCTGACACCGTGGTGGAAGGTGGAAAGCTGCACGCCGAGCTACGCAGATTCGCGCTCCAGCAGCGGCCCAACCTGCACGACCACGACGACAAGAGTCGTGACTCAGACGGGCCTTCGTCCGCAGACTCCGTCCTCCACGGCGCTGACAGCGAGTCCCAGTGCTCCGACAACAGCGAGGAAGGGAACCTGGTGTCTATCGTGTCCGTGGGAGACGAGGACGACTCCAACACGCGCCTCTCCTCGCACGGCAGGATCTACATTCGCTCCGACTCCACGGACTCGGACGTGCAGATCAAGCCCACGTGCATCGTCGTGACGGGCTCCTCCGGGGCCGAGTCCGGCGAGGACGGCGACGCCGACGGCGATGGCATCAACGTGAACGCCGAGAGAAACATAAAAAATGAAGGCAACGACGTCACGATTCTGGAGGTGACGAGCGACGGCCGCCGTGGGCACGTCATGTCCGTGCACGTCACGAGCCCGGACTCGTCGCGAAGCGCCTCGCCCGCGCGCCGCAGCCAGGTGAGCGAGCTGCAGTCCATGATTCTGACCACGCGGGAGAGGCAGCAGCAGTTCCGGCGATCGCCCACGGAGATGAAGGAGTCGTCCTCCGGCCTCGCCAACTACTTCACCCTCACCCTTGGCACCGACTCGCCGCACGCGCCTCGCCGCTTCAACAAAACCCCGGAGATTCGACGTCGGAAGGTCGACCGGCCCGAAATCGTCGAGTCTCCCGCAACCACGAGTCCCACCAGCCCCAACCCGACGCCGGACCACTCCGAGGGTGACCTCCTTGCCTACGAGGAGCACCACGGCATCGACATCGAAGAGGACTACTCCATTCCTCACGATTATGACTCGGGGGAGGACGCCGAGCGGATCGTGCCCTTCCCGGACGAGGCGATGTTCGAGGAGGACATCTCGTTCGACGAGGCTCACCACTTCAACGAAGCTGACGAGTTCAGCGGCGGAGATTCGTTCATCGAGAATGAAGTCGACGGGAAGTTCGACTCCATGGAGGATGGCGAGTCCATTCACAGTGAGTCTTACTACAGCGAGTCCTCCGGCGACGAGATCATGGAACGCGAGGACGAGCTCCGTGGCTACTGCAACCGAGCCATCGACTTCACGCTCCACACCATCATCGAGGAGAGCTGCGAGGAGAGCGACTACGAGAGGAAGCCCAAGGACGAGGACGGAGCGAAGGCGGCGCCGTCGGAGCTCGAGAAGTATTTCTATTACGGTCTCGGAAACGGCCCAGTGGACTCCATGAGGTACGCCAACGAGGAGAGCGAGTTCAGCGACAATTTCTCCGAGACGTCGAGCTCCATCTTTAGCGACGTCGACTCGAAGTTCGACGAGGATATAGATCCCGCGGAGTTGGCCTCGTCTCGCTTGGAAAAATATTTCCTCTTGAGATTTGAACGACAGCCGTCCATCAGGTCTGTCGGGGAGGACTCGGAGCTCCACACCGACGAGAGCGGCTCCGTCGGAAGTGACTCCGAGGGTTCCCCGAGCCCCGAGCAGCCCCGCAAGAAACTGGTGAGAAGACCGCGGGGGTTCCGGCCGGGCGTCGCGAACAGGTGCCTCGCCACGAGCGAGAGGGCCGACGGCGCGCCCAGCGACGGCTCCCACCACTCCGAGGGGGACGAGGTGGATAGGACCCTCGTCAGCGGCGAGGACGAGGGCTCCACCGAATCCGAGGAGACCGCCTTCGACAAAGCCGACGGTCAGTTCGACACCATCAAGCGAAGGAAAAAGAAAAAGAGTTCT